CTCCGTGAATTTTTAAGTAAAATACAACTGTAATATATCAAAATCTAAGATAGACCTTCCTCTATTTGATGCAAGTTATTTCACTTTAAAAGATGTACTTGTTTAGAAGTTATTACGAATCAAACAGGAGTACTTTTTTGGGGACACCCAGTATATTATAATTATGAATATTACTAGTATACTTATCAGTAGTAAATGCTGACTTGCTGCTTAATTTGACGATATATCAAAAACGGCCTCCTCTTTCCACATTAACAACCCAGTTTAAATATGACAATTTCTCCTAACCAATCGTAAGCCCAACACTAATTTAATCGTTGTGGCTTCATTATTGTGAATACATAACTATGAATACATCCTTGTTTCGGTCACAAATATATTTCTTTGATCTTGACCGTAATCACAACCCAACCCTAACTTTATTGTGCGCGAAACATGAGAATCTGACCATAAACTATTTTTTATTTTTTTTTCCTGCCGCTACAAATGCAGCGCCAACTTGTTAGATATTCTGCAGCCAATCTTTGAGTTTGGCTCTCCAAATGCAGCACCAACTTGTTAGATATTCTGCAGCCAATTTTTGAGTTTGGCTATACAAATGCAGCACCTACTTGTTAGAAATTCTTCATGTAAGCATTCAGTTTGGCACTGCAGTCGCAGCGCCAACTTGGCACAAATTCTGCACAAAATCAACGCATATAAAACAAACGTTTTTTGTAGAATTTAGTAACACATAATTTTTTCTGGAAAAAAACTGGTTAAATATATCCGATTAGCATTATAAAATGCAGTTTTAAAAATTTGTGAACAATATTTGAAATAAAGGTACAATTTCGCAGGATTTTCTCTAAATAGAATGTTTCACTTAGCTTTAGAACGTGTTATATTGTTTTGGACAATATTATGTCATCAAAATAAACGCCTGTAAATTTTCATTAATTTCTCCCATGCCGTTCTCATTATAACATATTGAAAACTTTGTAGGCCTCCTGCATAATATTGGCGGCAAGAAAAATATAGAGGAGTTTTTGCCAATCAACTAATATTGCCTAGTTGTAATTTTTACCCTGCATTGGTGAATAAAAGAACACAAGACGATATGAAAGCCATTGTGCGTCTGTATTAAAAACCTTTAATTAATATAAACAACGTTTACCGGCAAATTATATGTCTGACAAAGTTATGGCATGAAATTTTAAATCTCCTAAACATTAATTAGTACATTTTAATGAGCAATATTCCCCCATTTTAGAATTATATTGGAAATATTGTACATTTGGGATAGCTACGCATATTAAATTAAAGAAGCGCCAATGTATATAATTAATAAACATGAAGCGAAAACATTACTGCACATCAGAATTCTGAGAAATACATTGATATTATTTGACGGTTGTGAAAGTTGCCTGAATCTCAGAAGTGGCGCTGCCAGGATTTTATTTTTTGGGGGCAACTTAATAATTTACGGGGCACGGATCATACACGTGCTTCGAAAAATTTGGGCCTAATTAGTCACAGTGTTTTCAGTGCATAACCGCGTGCATGGGAGACAGGCATAATGATAAACGTTTAGTAGATTATATGAGTATATTCCCGCAAGATACGCAATACTACCTGTTGACAATTTTCCAACCCTCCCTCCCCACTTTTTATCGGAATTGAAGGAATCTTAAACTACACTCCGAAAAGTATTTCCGTCCACCTCGCCCCCTCTCCCTTTCGCGGCGTGACTATAAGTACTGCACCTATATAAGTCTAATAATTAAAAATTTAATTTATAACATCCTAAAAGGTATATTGCAATATTCTAAGCCGTTCAAATAAAACAACGCAATACTGATATAAAGTAAGAAATGGAACAATTGGAAACTAATTGCGAACCTAGCTAATTAACAAACATGCAAACGTTTCATTTAATTTGTTGCTTTTTCAATGCAATACTGATATAAAGTATAAAAAATAGAGCAATAGACACTTCCCGAATTTGCTTGAGTGCACACGAAACAATAACTTGGAATCGAGGCGGACAATGTAATCCATTGGAAAACAATACTTATTTCAAATGGATGACATTGTCCGCCTCGATTCCAAGCTATTGTTTCGTGTGCACTCAAGCAAATTCGGGAAGTGTCTATTGAAAACTAATTGCGAACCTTAATTTTTAGTTACGGGTCAACATAGCTGGTTATTAAAATGTACAGTACATGTTTTAATTATTGCAAATTTTTAAACACCGAATATTAAATATTTGGTATTATAAAATATTTATTAAATATTAAATATTTTATAAATATTACTGCATGTACAAACTGACACTGTATGTTTCTCGATCACAACGAGATTTTTAACTTATTCAATATATATTTTTACTTATTATGTAAGCGGGTTTTTGGCACATCTATTACAAATTTGGAACAATTAAAGAAACTTAAAGAACTTTTCATTACTACGACCAATTGCATGATGCGGAATGTTAAAATTTGTATAAGCTATTTTCAAAATTGATTAAGCTTTTTCTTCAATTGCTTATCCGCCAACCGCACGCTCTGTGTTGGGATAAAATGCAGTGGAATCATACAGTGGAGATGAGTGGAGATATATAACTAAAATACAACTTAATGATTCATTCGTATTTCACCATATAGCCGCACAACAGAAGTCTTTTGTTTGATTGATTTTTCTATAAGCGTATATTACCGTCGCGCTGGAGCAAATGAAAGAAAGTGGATTGAGGTAAACATTTTTGAGCGAAGATGATAGTCTATGAGATCTAGAGTGGCAGTCCCCCAACCTTGGTTAACTATTATATTCAACACAATCATCGATTCTATTTAATTTAAAACATAATTGCGACACTTATCAAACCTTTGTTTTGTCAATCTAGACCTCGAAATGTTCCTTGTAACAATTTGTTGACTGCAAACGCTTATTCTCGTTTTACCGTACTCTGGACGAAAGCACGCACATAAACGCATAATAGTTTGTCAAACAGCTTCTGGCATGTTTAAATTAATTAAATTGTTGTTTAATTAGCTCCATGTTCTGGTTACTGTTCCGTGTGCCATATTTGACGCATACACAGACAATATTTTTCTGGCAGCGAAATTGCAGTACGTGGTGGTAAAATCATTAAATTTTCGTTGTGTGAAAGAAATCGCTCGTGCATTACGCTCTGTGGCAGTAACCAGGGGCGGATCCAGGGGGTATCGAGTGTAGCTCAAGATACGGTCAGATTTTTCCGATTATGCATACTAAAATAGTTTTGGGGAAAAATTCAATATTAATATATTTTCAGGCAATTCATTTCTGTTAAAATAGTGAAAATTTGAGTTTACTAAGATGAACGAGGGCAAATTCTTTCGTAAATTTTAAAATTCACAGTTCTAAATATAACATTAGACGTGTTAAAGCATTGAATTACTTTCGACGAAGATGAGCCGAGAGCTTTCCGAAGGCATAACCCGAGGTTACGTAACCCGATCGGAAAAATGTTTTTAAATGCGTCTGCGGTGTTCTGATACGGTCCGCGGTTCAAATGTTACTAAAAATAGTAACTTAATGAGATATTTGGATACCTTGGAGGGTATCCAGCCAATCACAGCACGTGTATCTATGACGTCGGATACCCTCTGATACTGTGGCTGTATTTTGATTGCGCAAGAAATGAAATAATCGTGAACCGCTCGGAAACTTCGTCTCATACTGCTAAAAGCCGCATTTCTTCTAACGTAACTGAGACACTGAGTGAGTGATGGCCTTACATAATTTCAGAAGACGTCCTTGAAATAACACTTGATAAATAGTGTATTGGATGCCAATTAGAACAAGACTATTACGAAAAGGATATGTCCAAAGGGGCCGAAGTTATGTTCGGCGAAAGGTATGGCTAGTTTACATTGTTCGAGAAAATTGAGTAATATAGTGAAATATATGATATTGTTTGACCTCTCAAGGTTCATAAATCGCTATATTGACTAAAACTATCGTTGGGAATTAGGAGATATTCTTTCAATGAACCGAACGGTAGTATTTTTGTTTTCATAGCATTCGCCTAACCGAAGATATTAATCTGTATTGTGTGTTTTTTTGTTACTTTGTGTTAAAATATGACCTTGTTATGGCCAAATTTTAGGCCAGAATCATGGGCTCAGAACGCAGGAAATGGCATTTCCGGGGTTCAAATTTCAAAAAATTTCCGGGGGGGCATGCCCCCGGACCCCCCTAGTAATGCGAGACCTAGGAATATGATACGGTCACATTTTAAGCTAGATCCGCCCCTGGTAACGCAAAGCTTCTCGCAATCGTTGCCAAAATTTCGCACAATTTCATTTTGGGCAAAGATTCCCGATCATTGGGGCGGTGTGGTCAAGGTTAATGATTGACACGTCTTTTTATTGAAAAATTTAGCCTCGCGAGAATGCAGATGTGGTCTCCTTGTGATTTTTTACAACCGTTGCGTTAGCATATATTGTGGTATACAAAAAATAATGAAAGAAAATAAATAGCATCGACTGGAACCTTATCCAAAACGTACAACTCCGAACCGTAACCATATCTGAACTTTCTTATGACTGATTAAAGTGTTCGTGGTTGTTCATTGTAATGCAAGTTTCAACATTGAATGTTATTTATTTCCTACATTAGTTGAATATTTACTACTGCATGCATGGTCGATTAGTCATGAATAAATTTTTAGCCATATTTTGAAGACAATTAACCTCATTGCATGGTTTTTCGATTATACAATGCGAATAAAGCCATAAAGCGACTAAGTAATATATTTCAAACACGTTTTTTCTGTATTGACATATTAAAAATATCTGTTAGGCTACTGGAGTGACGTCTGAATGTGATAATTAACGAAATTTTGTGTGTATGTATGTCACTAAACCCACAAAAATGAATTGTGTGTAGGCGGACATTCAGGGGAAATACTATAATTATTGTTACAATGCGTTCAAATGTTATGCGCACTCTAAAAACAGGTGTGTTCAATTACACACCAAGGTGTGTTTAATTACACACCAAGGTGTGTTTAATTACACACCAAGGTGTGTACATTTTACACACCTTCCTATACAATTTTAGAAAACACACCTTTGTGTGTTAGAAAACACACCATGATGTGTTAGAAAACACACTATGGTGTGTAACAAAACACACCTAGGTGTGCTAAGAAACACACCTGTATTTTACACACCTTTTCTTACACACCTTTGATGCATATAAGGTGTGTTCAATAACACACCTTTTGAATGAAAACACACCTTGGTGTGTTCGAGAACACACCTCATACTAATTTGCAAAACACATCTTGGTGTGTTAGATAACACACCCTACGCCGATTTTGGAAAACACGCGTGCACGGTGTGTACTGAAATATAAATATATAGCCCAGGGTTTATAGTTCGAGATTTACGGTATTCCATGAACCCATTAAGATGTGATGTTGTGATGGATTAACAGACTGTGTGTGCATGTCTCAGTTACCATTAGCACTTACATACCCTAATTTAACCCATTAAGCTGCAGAGCTTCCCCGCGTTTTCCCCGTTTCCTAGGATACGAGGCCTCATCACGATTTATGAATAAGGTCTATAGTACTCGGATTTTCCATTTAACATACGAGCCTCTAGTCCTGGGATAGGGTACATTTTGATTTACGTTGGTCAAAGTTACAGTTCGGTCGGGCAGAAATACACTCAGGTCGGACAAACAATAAACCTCAATTTCACTTTGGTCGGACAGAATGTCTGGTGGTTTCCTCTCTACGTCAGACAATTTCACTAATGGTCGGACAATGTCCATGACCGACCGATATTTTAAGGCCTGCATAGCCGGATTAACCCTAACCCGTAGCTAACATTTATGTATTTCTACATACAGAATCTTTTTGTTTTAAAATTATGAAAAGAAAACTCCTATGGTACTGATCCAGACAAGATGTCTAAAGAAATATTTCCAAATTTATAAACAAACTGTTAGGAAGTTTGCTTAATCAAAGGTTAACTTATCGGCTTTCGAACAATCAACCCCTGCATGGTGATTTTGTTTGTCAATGGGGAGTGTGTTGGACTTAAAAGGTTTTAACCTTTCATTGAAACTAGATTGTCTGCCCGCATTTTGTGTTAACACATTATTAAGATAAAAGCCAGACTACTTTCAGTACTTCATGATTTTACTATGTCTAACATCAGAGGGTCACATTTCATATTTAACCCTTTTAGATGCAAAGGACATTTTAGTCATCCAGAGGGGGAGGGAGTCTAAGAGTAGAATCTTCTGAGACTGATAATAGTAAGATGTACTAAGACATCAATGGAATGGGGGGGGGGGTTAAATTCCAAGTTTCTTTGTATGTCATGCTTGAAGTTTTCAAGGATGGATAGATCGGCTTAGATAAAAATGTCAATTTGATGTTTTGTGTGGCAACTTGAATATGGACATCTCCCTAATCGGAAACAGTTAAAGTCCTTAGTTTGTTTGTTTGTTCAAACTCATGAATACATTTAGCTAGCTACACCACCCACATGATCTGCTTAGTAATATATGTAACGACCCAATTCACTCCAATTAACCCAGTTTTCAGCACTTTCTTAAATTATGTCACCTTTCCTAATGCCGGACAAGTTAATTTGTGTGTAGCTAGATTTTGCCCATGTTTCATGTTGACATATTTAGATGCAATTTTCCCTAACACTCCCTACTTTAAGTACTTTAATATTGAACTGTGACGTCTCATGCTAGACAATTTTACTTATCGACTGCATGGACTCATTTCACCTATTAACACCGAAGAAACAATTTCCTCTTAAATGTTGCCTACTTTCGGTTCTTTCTAGGGGTGTGCAGGACAGAGTATTTCTGCTATCCAGCCAGATACAGGATATGCTGGATGGCTGAAAAATATCCAGCCCGATTAAGGGTATTATTCAAATAATTATATAAGGTTCAGGCATCATTTAAGGTTAAGTACTGGTAATAATTTTATTTGGTTAAAAAGTAAACAGTCTAAAACTAGTAAACCTGCATCATTGGTAGCAAACATGCATCATTGGTAGCAAAAGCCTCGTTTACATCAGTTAAAAGTTCAAATCCCCATTTACTGTACAAACAAGCATTGAAAATACTGATCATATTTATCATATTTTTACTTCAATGATCATGATATGATAACCTTATCAAATCATTTTCTAACCTGAAAAGAAGGCCTGAACCCTATATGAATAATATCCGGCATTGGGTAGCCGGATGCCAGATAATGAATTAAAATCTTAATATCCGGCCAGATACAGTATCAGTCCATTGCATCCTATGTCTTGAAATGCCAAACAAATTAACTTGTTAAATGACTGTACGAACTGTTACATGAAGTACATTGCTTGCGGGCGCAGGAGAAAAGGGCGCGAAAACATTGTGACGAGTTTTATCTTTTATCGAGTTTGGTATTATCACTGTGTTATATATTTGTATTGTTGATTATAAAGGAAAAATACCTCACAATAACTTGTAAGTAATCCTGTTTCTAGGATCGTTAAGTATCTTTACACACACTAATTTTTTAGTAAACTAACTAACAATGTAACATATTTCTAGCGAATCTAGTGCTGACTAGTGCAGTCGTCAGTGCTGAATAAAAGTATTGTGAAAAGACAAATTTACGAGAATTGAAGTTTACAATGACTGTATATTGATATTCAATATACTTAGCTAATATTAGCCTCCTGCGCAGACGTTGTTAGTGGCCGAGGCCTCACCTAACGTCTGCTCACATTCGCTATACATTTGACTTCCCGGCAATTAACCAATCACAATCATCTACACGATAATTGGAAGATCGGCCTTCAATGACCTTCACACGCATGGGCTATATCAACAAGTCTGTAGTATTTTTAAATTTGAAAGTTTTAACACTGCGCATTAGAAGAAGGCTTTTCAGTCTATTATAAACGAAAAGGATGTTGTCGTAAATCTTACAACTGACGCAGGAAATCCCTTATTTATCACGCCGTTACCGAAGCTATTCGATGTAATATTCGGATTTAAATATTTAAACAAATTGTAAACATTGTAAACATTTAGTAATCGTGGTTTCGGTTGATAAATTCAATACGAGATCAAGTCAAAAAAACTACACGATCTAGGAGTCAGTGCTGTGTCATTATTAAGTTGAATCGAGAGCGATAAAGAAGCGAAGGCATTGGAAGAATGGAAATATTCTGACTGTATTATATGCAGAGTTGAAGACCGAACGATGGAAACGAATGCTTCAACAAATTGTACGTATAGCAAAATGGTTTGTGCTTTGGCTGTTGATGCATGAAGCTCGTGCGATTAAAGAATGGTATGTATTATAATAAATCCTAAAAATGTGTTCGCTTTTGTAATTCCCAAAGACACATGAAGGAATCGATCGGGCTTGGCCATTTTAATAGTCATTATTCATTAATATTTTATATTGTTTATTTAAATTGAATTTGTCTTTTTATACATTGCCTCGTATTATCTATTTGCATGTAGTACTAGCATGCAAGTTTATATGAGGGCAATTATGAAGGGTTTACATC